AAATAATAAAATACAAAAATACTATAATTACAACGATGCACAATCCAACAAAATATAGACAAACAAAGATTTAATAGTTTAAAGTAATTAATAATAAAATTTTGTTTTTTTGGAACATAGTTCATGTATAAGATGGTTAAATTTAACCAATAGTTTATTAATTATTGGCCTTTTAACTCTTTTGTATATTAACTATTTTTTTTTCCATCTGAACAATCTATCAACTTCTAAAGTTGTATCAAGTTAGTCTAGACAATTAATGTTACCTGCAAGGGACTAACGGAAATCCACAAGGGCATCCATGTGGCAGCCACATAGATGTCACGTGGCTAGACAATCAATGTTTAGAAATCTAAGCTTTTAATTAAGTTCCCAAACAAATTTTTATGTCCTTCTAGTCTTGGGTTTTTTTTTTTCCTTTTTTTTTCAGTTCCAAATATTTTTTTTATGAGACTCAATTTCAAATTTATTAATTTAATTCAATAAAAATTATTAATTTAATTAGATTAGTTAAGTCTCAAGTGAGATCAATTATAAAAATAGTTTTTTAACATGTATTTTAGGTATAGATAAAAAAAATAAAAGTTAAAATATTAATTGTAGCATCATTGTCAAATAGATAAATTTAATTAGATGGTTCATAAATTAAAAATTAATTTTTATTTTTTTACACAAATTTATAATAAAAAAATATTTATTAAGACACAAGTTAAAAACCCGTAAAAAAAATAGTCCTTTCTAAGAAAAAGCTTAAGAAAGACCAACCTGGTAAACTTAATCCGCAGAGAGATTTTGTTTAATGAAAAACATTTTTTTCTCTTAAATCAAAAGTAAACAAAGTTTTTCTTATCTATAAGCTACAATGGTACCTCAGTATGTCAATTAAATAAACCAAAAACAAGCAAATTATTGATAAACCAGCAAGAACATGAAAATGACATTTTTTTGTTGGATGATAGACCATAAAAGAAAGATAGCTCTCCCCTTCCCAAACCCTTCCTCACCCTCTCAAGATTTAAATTTGAAATATCTAATATAAAAACTCAAGCTTTTAACCACTAGAACGTCCCTATGGGATGAAATTGACATATATAATTACGTATGCGCATAGATCTATGGAGCAATCAATTCCGTTTGTTCTTTCGTATTATTGTCAAATTATTGTATCACAAACAATATCACAACAAATGGCCAATCATGACAATATAATTAGTTGAAGTTAGAAGGCAAAAGGAATCGACAAGAATAAAACTTACCTGTTCATTAAAGAGAGGCGTTATGTCAGTGGCTATATCTGTGTTCAAAGATTTACCCAGGAACTCCTTCAAATTTGGACAGTTCTCTATTGTCAATCGCTTCAAGGATGGGACTGCCATGATACAATTTCCTGAGCAGAATCTGACAAGGTTTTGAAGGTCTTGCATCTGCAAGAAGTCCA